ATTATTATTATTATTATTATTATTATTATTATTATTATTATTATTATTATTTTCATTATTTTGCTTTGGTTTGCTTTCTCCCAGAGTGGACAAGCGCTTTCTCCTACAGTGGACAAGCGCTTTTAATTTGCAAGTCTCGTGATCATCAATTCATTAGGAGCAAACACATTATTGGCTAGTGAGTAGTAATTAGCCATATAAAACTTAACTTGAATATTGTGGTGATTTTAGTAATATTTGCATTACTACTTGTAGAAAGTCAATCTCATTTGAGTAAACTATTAATCTTTTTTTTTTTTTTTTTTTTTTTTTTTTTTTTTTTTTTTTTTGGTTTGGTTTTTTTTTTTTTTTTTTTTTTTTTTTTTTTTTTTGGTAGTTGAGTAAACTATTAATCTGTCTTTCCAATGCATATTGCCCCTTTCGTAAATAAGAGTTTTATTCTTTTTTTTTATTACAAAATAAGAGCGATATTTTCTTTAATGTAGTGCGCGTGTATGTACAATGTACATGCGTGATATTAATATATCGTTGTATATATAAGTTTTAGCCCCACTTAATTAGGAAATACTTTGAACCTAGAAGATTTTGGAAAGATCAATATATATATAGGGGAGTTGTCTGACAGGTAATACTAGTTTATAATTATTAGATCAAGTCAAAAACACATCAGATTAAAAAAGTGTGCATAACAGATAGTTTTCGATACAGATTTAACGGCTGAAAATAAAAAATTATTGATAGTTTATTTTTTTTATCCTATTAGAGAAGCTCCTTATAAATGATTAGGATAAATATTACTATGATGACACACATACACTTTTGGTATCTATATATATACACACACACACGTATGCATCTTTCGAAATTTTTTTGGCGTGTAATTTGCTTGCATCCGTACAGCCACGCCTTTCTGACTGCAAAAACCACGTTTTCTCACATATCGTAAAAATTAACATTTGATAACGTAAAATAAAACTCAAATAGGAAGGGGTCTCAATTGAGATTTTAACTTTAATACTGTATGTGGAACATCTATAGATGGGAATATTTATAGAAAAGCTAGAGGAAAGTTTTAAAAGATTTAGGTCTTTTTTGAAATATTATAAAATTTATGCCCCATATTATATATATATATATATATATATATTAACTTTAATGAGAGCCGCCAAATTCTAATAGAGAATGGCATGAAATTAAAGAGGTAAGCTAAGGAAGA